CTCTTCGGGATTCGCCTGGAGGGACCGGATCAAGTGTGCAGTGGGTGGGCAAGGTCTCACGAAATACAAAACACACATCAGCTAAGCGGAGCCCGCCCACAGAGGGCGTGGCGTGCGTCGAAATGAACTGTACGAAGAATATTTCGATTTCAGTGACAAAACAACCTCGAAACTGGGCCAAAAAGTGGGTAAAGGTGTGCGTTAATAAATCACATCGAATTAGGGAGACCCACTCCCGGTGAGCGGGGCGTGCTTTAAAAAAGCAGAGCTTTATGAAAAATTGCATAACTCTGTTGGGTGAAAGCCTACAGAGCACAAAACAATTTGGCGTAAGGGAGCAATGTCTAAGGTGTTTCCTGCATACATGACGCGGGCGGAGGCCCGCCCAGAATGGGCGGGGTGCGCTCTGAAGTGTACAGCATTCTCTACAAGTCCTCATAATTCGGGCCGGGGTAGTCTCAAAGAGCCGGAAAAAGGTGGGTGGAGGTGGGTGAAGGAGTGGAGGCCAGCTGTCAGTGGTGGGTGGGGTTTGGCCAAAGTGGGCGGAGTTTGCGACGAAAATTCATAACTTGGCTCCAAGAAGTCCAGGAGGCCGGGAAAAAGGTGGACGGGAGGGTGTGTGAAGGTGAGGCAGCTGTTCATGCTGGTGGGGCTTGCCAAAGTGGGCGAGAGTTTGCGACGAAAATCATTAACTTGGCTCAAGAAGTCCAGGAGGCCGGAAAAAGGTGAATGGTAGGTGGTGAGGAGTGGAGGCCAGCTGTTAATGTGGGTGCGGGCTTGCAAAGTGGGCGGGTCTCTGTCGAGACAATTCATTAACTTGGCTCTCAAGAAGTCCAGAGGCGGGAAAAGGGATGGAAGAGGTGGTGAAGGAGTGGAAGGCCAAAGCTATTGGTGGGGAGCAGTCACCGAGTAGGCGAAATTCGCACGAGCGTTTATGTCGGAAGCAGTTCGAAGACCGGGTGGCGGGGGGGCAAGAGGATAATTAGGCGAGGAAAAGATGGTTAAAAGCCATCGATGATAGAGCGGATAGAATTTAGTGAAGATTCAGACGTGGAGGATCAAGCAAATTTGAAAATTTTCGTCGCGCCATCCCAAATTCGCCGCAGATCTGTGTTGTGTCGCAGCATGCGTGCAAGCGCCTATATCCTACTACCTATAAAGCGCTTCGTCTGTCGTCTGTCGTCTGTCGCTGTCGCTGTCGTCTGTCGTTGTCTGCTGTGTGTCTGTCACTGAATTCCTGCTCTATCGGAATCCACCTGGAGAAACCGGTCAAGTTGTGGAATGGGGGGCAAGTCTCAAGAAATACCAACACACTATCAGCTAACGGAAGACCCGCCGCACAGAGGGGCGTGCGTTCGTCGAAATGAATCGTCCCGAAGCCCAAGATTTCGCTTCAGTAACAAAACGGCCTCGAACAGGGCCAAAAAGTGGTAAAGGTGTGCATATGGTGAAGTCACATGGATAGGCGAGAACCCACCCCGAGGGTGGGGCGTTCTCTAAAAAAGCAATGCTTTATGAAACATTTCATAATTCGGTTGGGAGAAAGCCTAAGCGCAGAAAACAATTTGGTGTAAGGGAGCAATGTCCAAGGTGTTTCCTGCATACATGACGTGGGCGGCGCCCGCCCACCATGGGCGGGGCCGCGCTCTGAAGTGTGTAGCAGCATCTTTCTCCAAGCTCATATTTCGGGTCCGGGAGTCTTACAGAGCAGAAAAAGGTGGATGAGGTGTTGGAGGAGTGGAGGCCAGCTGTCATCTGGTGGGCGGCGCTCGACCAAAATGGCGAGTTTTGAGCGACAAAGTTCATACTCGGCTCCAAGAGATCACGAGGCGGCCGGGAAAGGTGGGATGGCGATGGGCTGGAGGGAGTGAGGCCATCCCTCAGTGGTGGGCGGGGCTGACAAAGTGGGCGGAGTCTTGCGACGAAAGTTCATAACTTGGCTCCAGAAATCCCGGAGCCGGAACAGGTGGTGAGGTGAGTGGAGGTGTTTTGTAGGATGGAGGCCAAGCTGTCATCGTGGCGGGCTTGACACAATGGGCGGAGTTTGCATACGAAAATTCATAACTTGAGCTCCAATAAAGTCGCGGAGCCGGAAAAAGGTGTGGGTGGAGGTGGAGGGGGTGGCCAGGCTATCTAAATGGTGCGGCGGGAACTCGACCGAGTGGCGGAGTTTGCGACGAAGTTCATAAAACTCGGTCTTTGAAGTCCAGGAGACAGTGGGGAAAAGGTGGATGGAGGTGGATTGGAGGAGTGAAGGCTAGGCTGTCGATCGGTGGGGCGGGGCATGTTCAGAGTGGGCGGAGTTATAACGAAAAATTCATAAACTCGGTGCCAAGAGGTCCTGCAGACCGGGAAAAAAGTGAACTGAGTCCGTCAACGAAAGGGAGGTCAACTGCCATTGGTGGTTGGGACGAGCAACAACGGGGCGGAGTTTGCCCTAAACTTATCATATTGAGAGGTCCGGGAGACCGAAATAAGGTGGGTCGAGTCCGACAATGCACGGGAGAACAGCTGCTATTGGTGGGTGAAGCGTGCATCAAAGTGGGCGGAGTTTGCGACGGAAATTCATAACTCAGTTCCAAGAAGTCTCGGAGGTTGGGAAAAAGTAGGATAGAGGTAGGCGAAGGAGTGGAGGCCAACTACTATTACTGCTATGCAAAATTTTCTTAATAACTCCGCCCACGCTGGACTGGGCATGTCCAGTGTGGGCGGAGTTATTAAGAAAATTTTGTAACTCGGCTCCAAATAGTCCTGGAAATCGGGAAAAAGTGGGCAAAGGAAAGGGATTGAATTTCTAATGGTGTGCGGAGGTAAACCAAAACTGGAGGTTTTACGGCCAAATATAAATCGGCTCAGAGACAGTCCAGAGATCGGGTAAAAAGTGGGGAGAGGTTGGCGAGGAAGAAAAACATAGGTACAGTCCGAGACCGGTAAAAGCGGTCAATTAGCTGACGAAATATTGAAGTTCAAAAGCCATCGGTGGATGAGGCATGGGACATTCGGATAGAATTCAGCTTGAAAGTAAAATATTCGAAGTTTATTGTGCCTAATTCGAGAATTTACGCCGCACCACCCCATATGGCTGCAAAACTGTGCTGTGCGCGCAACGCGTGCGGCGCCAACTGGTTATCCTATATTACGCAACATCCTATGTTCTATGTTTGAGTTGTGGACCATAAACACCTATGCGACTGTATAAGACTCGGGTTCGGGTTCTTCCCCATTTAAGATACACATAGCTCACAGAGGTGGAGCCCTGCCCTGAGGGCGATGTTTCTAAACTGCAAAAAGTTTAACAAATTCTCCCTAAATTTGTGTTTCTCAGAATGCCCTTCGTTATCAAACAGCATTGAATCCCTTCTGGGAAGAAGCTTAAAATCGTTCAGTCAAATGAACCTCAAAGCGAGGAATTGCGACAATTGGGTTGGGTTCAACCGAAGTGGGGATGCAGAATAACGCCCACTAAAATGGGACCCTTTTTGTCGGTTGGTCTTCGATAAGACGAGCCGGCAACCATCTTAGGTAAGTGGTCTCATGCCTGGCAAACCAATAGCCATTAACACGCGCACAAACAACACGCGTTAATTGTTCGCCCTGTGTTTCTATGGAAAAGTTATATGGTATGCGCTCAAAATGGAATCCTTTCCAAAATGACAACTGACAGATTGACATGGTACTGCGGTAAAACACCGATGGGTGGAGCAAAGGCGGAGGCGGAGCTCAGAGGCACATCCCACTTCCTTGTGCCCCTGACTACTTCCACTGGGGTATGTACAACACTTCCATGCCACACACACACACTTTATCATAATCCTTCGCTTTAATCAACAACACAAAACCTTAATTCTGCTTCCGCATCCAGTGTAATGAGTTAAAGGACGAATTCACGATGAAAAAGCAACCCATTTCAAATTAACCTAGGGATGGTGGGTGGTACACGAAGAAGGAAGAACCATGAGAAACGGCCCAGAACCCGAAAAAAGGTACCTCTTCCTTGCCCGTTGATTTGAGCATTGATGCGACTCGCATCGCTGTGCCCTCTTCAACACTACGCTCTCTCAGCTATCCAATCACTCGCCACGTATTGAGCTACGGCGAGTGATCAGCTGGTCGGTGGGCGGAGATCGCCGGACCCGCCAGCTTTGGGGCATGATAGATCGCCGAGGTCAAATTTTTCCATGCGAATAACGCGTCAGTTCGCACCCCTCAGGAGGTCCGTGGGTCCCTCAACTAGGTCAGTTTCCCTTTCTTCGACCTTCATTCTGATCGTGAGTTCCTCCTTTAAGCTAAGCGCAAGCAAATATGCGATTTTGGTTACACAGTGCCAGGACAAATAGATTTGCTTGAAGTAGCAGGAGTGAATCAGAGTGAATTATCTCTCAACTTCCGAACTGACCACAGCACTCGGGCGAGGGTTTTGCACGCCACTTCCGGGTGACTTCCTAGCATTAATACTGATTCGTATGCACGGCTGAACATGTTTCTTGTGATAAGGGTCTTCACCAGCCGATCTGTCAACCTGGGTGCTGGGACCAGCATTTTTGCAACTTTCGCAGGGCATGGTTGAGCCTCCCGCGGCTCTCACTTTGAGCCACTCGACTAGCTCTGCACCAGAGCTTGAGACAATGTCAAACATCAGAAAAAGGTGTGGCACCATAAGTAGCACGCTGACACCGAGACAGTGGGTCAACACAGTAGAAGACTAACAAAACGGAGCCGATGCGGCCTCTTCGAGATCGGTCACAAGAAGCCAATATGCTTTGGGACTACTTTTCTAGGAATGGTGACGAAAGCGTCAATTGAGAAGCACCAATATCTGAACAAAGTTATTTTGTATCATACCCTCTGCCACGATGGGTGAAAGCCTTTGTACCTCATTTTGTTTTGCAAAAATGGGAAAAAAATTGAGTTGCACCTCACTACACATGCAATGTATAATGTTACGATTCCTTAGTCGACTTGGCTGAGTGTCACGAAAGAAATCGCCCTTTCAGGAATTGTTAAAAGCTTGCACCTAACCTTTTTGAGCATATGGTGAGCAGATTCAATGTCAGCTGTCGAATACAATGAAAATCGGGATTCATCTCGGTCATGGAGGCGAGCTGGAGGGTGTTCTGTAGTGGAATATGTTAACGGAAAGTGGTATCGTACTGAATTATTTAGCGAAACAGTAAAAGAAACTCACGTCGCGATCTGGTACTCTCAAGCTGTCTCCAGACAGTCTGGATAGGGCACGACGTGGGATCGGAATTCTTGTACCAATGGTTGATGCTCGTTTACGTAATACGAAACTGAAGAGGAACGGTCCCGAATTGTCAGAGGCAATACTGGTGCCTGAATTGAATGCCAGAGTTGATTTTTCACGTATTTCTCCGAAGAAATATCGAACAACTGGCAATAATGTAGCACAACAATACCTCCTGAAAAGGTGGAGAGGCGTAATCCGGCACTTGAGCGAGATGACCGCTGCGACATTACAGAAGAAGCTCGACTCGACCATCCTCCCAGAGATGTCTCTAAAATGCTTTATGCTCTCAAATGCCGTAGCAGATTCTAATTTACGGAATTCTTCATGAGGATTTATAGTTGGGGGATGTAACTTGAAGGAATGTTTTTCGAAGATTGGTTACAAGAATCATAAGCGAAAGTTAGACTGCTCATATGTGATTGGCCTACCAATAAAAAAGATAAACTACTGAAAACTGTCAACTAAGCCTCTATTTGGCATCGACCTTAGGAGCTTGATTTCAGAGCAGGCGTGGATGAATTCTCACTCGCTAACGGGACAAATCCTATCAAATCAGTGCTTCCTCTTATTTGGATCACTTCCTTACAGGCAAGCTTCGGGATAAAATGGTGCGTAAAAGTGTTCAGTTATGAATCTAGAGTTGGGAGGTGGTCTGGAAAAGGAAAGGAAGGCGAAGGAAACCCCTTATCGAAACCCCAAATATGAACCTCTTCTCTTTCAGCGCAATTCACCTTGGGACGAAAAAGGGGGAGTGTTGGACGAGTTTTACTAACCTAGCTGTAGTTGCTCAATGACATTGCGCCGCAATGCAACGCTGCCTCAGGTGTGCCCGCGTTTTCCAGGCAGCGTCACGTGGCACCTAACATCGAAGGCGGGGCTTGCGTACAAAGGTGTGAGTTGCAGGTCGGACGAGCTTTTAGCACTCTTGTCGTACACTTTCAAGCTGCAAAAGGGGCGCGACATCAACGCTTGACCACCTGTCTACTGCCCCCAGCGATGAAACAAGAGGCGCTCAATCCCGAAGCGTGCCTTCAATAATGAGACTTGCTGTTTTATCTTCCAGGGCCGCGAATCGATCATACAATGGGGCCAAAAGTGCAAAATAAAGCCTTAGCTTCCTCACTCATGAATTTTTTAGGAGCGTAATTGATCCCAGAGCTCGAGTTGTGGCCGTAGTGTTTACGAAAGAGCCATATGAGTTATGTGGTAAGTTTCGAATTTTTGAACTTTTTGCAGTTGCTCCTCTGCGCTTTCGTTCTTGCTCTGCTCTGCTCATGTTTGCAAATTGAAGAGTAAATTTGAAAACGCTTCAGTCTGTACCATCAGAGCTCTTTCGACTGCCACCTTGTGTTGACCTTCCCATCAAAAGTAAAGGCGTGCAGTCAGATACCTGAATATCTAATTAACTTGTATGTAGTACGACATGAAAGTTAGAGTAACAAACAGTTTAAACACACAAGAGCTACTTACCTCACGATCGATCAGTTCCGGAGAGTTCACGAAATATCCAAAGTCATACTGTGGCAGAGCCGATGGCCGGCGGATTTCTATCTGTGATCAAACGCAAAGATTTATGCTTACGTCCACTCAAACAAATGATTATTTTGTACCTGTGGTAGGCCAGGGATCGCTTGTGGACTGGAAGGCCGTGGGAAATCAAGCATTTGTTGCGTCTCATCAATCGCCGTTGCAGGAAGTAGTCCAGGTGATCTTTACTGATATGATTGAACGGTGGATATATTTGTTCTCTAATTTTACCTTGCATCAAATATAACCTTGGTGGTGATGCCGCGTGGATTTCGAGCTCGGGTAGGTGAACATATCCTGAGTGTCGTGCCTTTGAATCAGGTGAATCCTGCTGATCATTGCTGCGGCACATTTGCCGATGCGCCTCTTTTCTTGTCAACGGGTAATTCTGAAGTTGACGCGTGAACTCAAGAACGGCAGCCGAGCTGCTTGCATTGCTTTCGCTCGAATCTTCTGGAAATATTAGTTGGTTTTGCTGATCGATATTCTACTGTAATCATTCATCACTGTTAGGTGTTCTAACTTCTCGAGTGACGTTTACATGGATCGGTGCTCATTCGTCCACGAAACAACGACTGAATGTATTTTGGAAGATGCTTCTGTACACTACTTGATGACGATGTGGTTTTCTTCGATCGATTTGATCCACTACTAGTGTCTGTTCCAAGCCTGCAAGAAGAAAAACAAGTTCTAGATAAGAAAAGCACCCGTACCCTGAGCATCAGCTTTCTATGGCACAACTTGAAATATTCTAGAAGATAGAAATAAAATAAATAAAATAAAATAAATAAATAAAATTAAAATAAAATAAAAATCGACCACAATTTTCGTCTTCCCATAAGTGTACACGCCTTCAGTCACTTCCTGCTTTTCCGATTATATATTTATAAATTTACATGCTCAAAACTGCATTTCTCCTTTAATTCTTCTTGGATTCCTGTCATTTAACAGGGCCCCTTACAGGTCCCTCTTGATATTTCGTGAAGCGAAAATTTCCCTCACAGAGCCGTAGTTCAATCACGCCTAACTGACTGGACCCACTCTAGGACGCGCAGTGTGCTTCGAATCCCTTCAGATTCGTGGACTTACTTGAAAGATGAAATATCCGTCGGGAAACGCGCGAATTTCGGATTCTTAAACCTTGTCGTAATAAATCACTGACCTAGCCTACACGGATCCCTAGAACCACGAAAATTCCATAAGGGCGGAATAACACTGTTGGATTGTGATACTGGAAGTCCTATGGCCAAGCTTGTTCAGCACAGATCGCTCCGTGATGTTTGTGTTTGGTTGGAGTTCTTTAACAGTGATGATTCTACTGCGTCGATCCGGCCAGCGTTCTTCCTCTCCGCGAGCCAAATACGAACCCCCCCTGTCGAGCAGGGATTCCTTGACGCTTACTTGACCCTGGTGCAAAGGGGCATTTTTCGAAGACACCTGAGGCCGCGAATGGGTGAAGTGCAGCGATTTGTGGTATGCGATCCAGTAAAAAAACGGAAGATAGAATGGTTACTCTAACATTCACAGCCATTATATGGGGCGCAGTTTTTCTTAAAAACTGTTTATCAAGCCAAATACATGGAGAAGAAGAGTTGTATAGGCTAAAATAGTGATGAGCTATACCTTTTTCGCCTTCCACGAAGTCTCGCATCCCGTGGTCCAGAACTTGCCCAGTTTGGCCGAATAATGTCAACAGAACTAAAAAGCACTTTTTCAATAATTGATATTTTTGACATTATCTTACTTCGGTGTGACAAGAATTTCTTAGATCATGTAGCACTAGGCAAGGATGAAACCCTATTCTTTTTGTTCAAAGTTAACAACGTTTCCGTAAGCCCTTTTTCAGGTTGACTGAACGGTACCAATCATGGAACAGTACACCACATACTACACAAATAACAATAACGAAAGTAACCTACAGGACAGTGTGGTGCTTGGGAGGTAGAGAGAAGGGTGGATGCAGGCCCATAGCGATGAATGGCAGTATTGCTAAGCAAGGTTTGAGGGTATAAATACACGCGCCAAAGTGAAAACCAATTCAGTTTCGTCGCGTTCGCCTTCATCGTGCACGGATTATAGTGATACCGAGCTCACTGCAACTTTAATCTCCGCCTTGTTGCTGATTGTTGGCTTCTATTGCCGTTCTCGCGCTTCCTTTATTTTTCTCCTCTCTCTGATGTGAACTTCATCGCAGAATAGGCACTGGAATTGGCATACTTCTGGTCGTTGAGCAGTTTCCATATACTCTGGCAAACCGAATATTCTTCAAGGGTTGGCGAATACTGTGCTTCCTCTAATTAGGAGGCAAATGAATTCCTCTGCAAAGTACCTCTTTACTTTATCCACATCGCATGGACGTAGGATTGACAATAGTGTGAGATTCGAAATGACTCTGAAGACTCGCAGTGTTTACACACTTACAGTAGCGGTCAAAAGTTTGGGAACTTTTTTATTTTTGGTCTAGCTAAGCCAATAGACAATCAAACTGTCCCAAACAGGGTCAACCGTCCGTTCGAACTGTTCGAACGAAGGGGTCGCATTTTGGTCGGAAGGGGGTCGCAACTTCGAGGACTGCCAGCCGCAGGCGCGTGCGTGGCGTATCCGAGGGCAAGAGTTGTTTGTGCAGACCGCATTAGATTCGATTAATTATGCACGGAGAGACAGTTTCAGGCAAATTACAGTGTTTTCCTTGAGGAATAAAGAACAGTTGAATGCATCATTATGAAAGGTTTGACTTCTCGGGGCTGAAATTAAAGTTCTTCGGGACCTAACTTTCTGAGGACGATTCTTCCAGACAAAGGTAAGACACATAAGAAAGCAGAAATCTCGTAGTCTTCAAAAATGTCTTCGCCCCTCCCCAACAAGTTCCTTGAGGGAAGATATCATTGCTGAAAGCTCAAAAACACGCATGTGCTACTCAAAAACCCATGGGAACAGAAGGTTCG